GCAATAAAATATTGCATGCGGTTATCTTTGGGTGGTAAAATAATGAGCGACTTTTTTTTGTTTTTCTGTGCTTTCCCAAATTTTCTAAACTTTTCATGATGAACACACATTGGTTTTATAATTATAAAGAGCATTGACAACACTACTTGGTTTTTGTAAATTTTTTTTTTTAAAAACCTTCAGGGGTATGCTTGATACACACCACCTCAAGGATAAGGTTATATGCACACGCCAAATTATGAAGAAGTAGAATGAATGTTCACTTGTAATGATTCTGACTCTTGCTTGAAAAAGTCGGCTAAGCCTCATTAAAGAATGCCGTTCACCTGGTACTAGTTTACAGGTGTAAGGTGAACATTCTGTTGAGCACACTTCTAAAATGTGCCCAGGTAACGCACGCATTTGTCTGTTAAGGAAGCTCTTTACTAGCTACTGTTGTTGAGCTAACAGGATCCCTTTCAGGATATCAGCACAAGTCCACCATACATTGTATGCCCTCCCATTGGAATTTGCTTCATTCAGCTCACCTTTCCTGATGCAACTGGATTAGTAGATGTCAGGACAAAGAAAATCGTTAGGTCCTACTGTTCTAATCCTGCCAAGCTCCGGGGTGGTTGCTATGTAATTTTATTTTTTCATATAGAACCCGCTTTGTGCCTTTCTGTGGGAAAATATTTTCAAACTGGTAAAGAAGCAATATTACTGTATTGTGAGGCATATCTCGGTAGGTCATTACCATAACTTCTAGCACAAAGGGTAATCTGTGTCATATTTTACTTCAAGGATAAGATTGATTTTTACAAAAATCTTTAGTGCAGTGAGGCTTAGCAATTTTTTTTTCCCTACGAAGAAGCAATTAGATTACTGGAGTTTTCCAGAAATGTTAGGTGCGTATAAGCCAAACCTTGATGCTGTTGTGCAGATCTGATCACTCAACATTTGAAGACACACAGTAGTTCCTGGTGAGAAAAATGCTCTGGCACAGAGGCAGCTGTCACGACTCACAGGGCCAGGGGTGTCCACCATTTTCTTATATTTACATCTGTTTGGAAAATGGACAAATTCCTGAAATAACAAAGAAGAAAATAATAGGCACCCATATTTCTCCCACCAAGAACTGCCTATTACTTCTTCCAAGTATGTGTGTCTATATATGTCTATATATGTGAATAGACACACACACACAGTTTAAAAATGACACACACATTCTCTTTATAGTCAAAATGAGCCATATGCATGTTTATTTTTGTATATATGTATAAATATGTTATAGAAATGTATATCTTTAGTGGTTTCATTCACATACAAACTTTAAAAAAGTGTATCTTTGTGTGTATACAAATACACTCATATTTTACAATTAAAACAAATTATATGTGTGTTATTTGTGTATATATATGTATGTGTATATATATACACATACATATATATATATATGTATATGTATATATATATGACTGTGCATATCCAAGGTCGGACAATTAAGTTCACAAACTCATCCTAGAAAAAGTGTTACACACCTCATTGCTGAATATCACTACGGTCACTTTCCAAGTATTCCCCTTGGGAAGCTATGCACTGATGCCAGTGCCTAGTTCACCCTTCAAAGCAATTTTGGAACTCTTTTTCTGGAAAGGCCATCAGAGCTGTCATCGTATTACTTACACTTGATGTCCTGAATGTCATCAAAATGTCTTCCTTTCAATATTTCCCTTTTCTCTGGGTAAGGAAAGAAGTCATTGGGGGCCAGGTCAGGTGAGTAGGAGGGTGTTCCAATACAGTTATTTGTTTACTGGCTAAAAACTACCTCACAGACAGTGCCGTGTGAGCTGGTGCATTGTCGTGATGCAAAGGCCATGAATTGTTGGCAAAAAGTTCAGGTCGTCTAACTTTTTCACGCAGCCTTTTCAGCACTTCCAAATAGTAAACTTGGTTCACTGTTTGTCCAGTTGGTATAAATTCATAATGAATCCCTCTGATATGAAAAAAGGTTAGCAACAACATTGCAACAAGTTTGCAAACTTAATTGTCAGACGTGTGTGTGTGTGTGTGTGTGTGTGTCTTATATATATTTAAAGGCTTTCTGTATGTGAAACACACACATTGCCTTTTGTAAAAGTATAAAAGCAACATATAATCTTAATAGAAAAAGTAGAGCTTTCTTCACTTCTACCATCAGCCCCAGTACCCTCCCCCTTTCCCTAGAGATAACATTGTTAGGAATTTGGGGCCCATTTTTCTAGAATTGTTTCTGTAAAGGGTCAGATAGTAAAGACTTTAGGCTTTGTGGGCCATTTGGTCTCCATCATCACTACTCAAATCTGCAATTATAGAGCAAAAGCAGTTACAGATAAGATATAAACAAATGGGACTAGTTTTTCAGTAAAACTTTGTGGACATGGAAATTTGAATTTTCTACATTTTTCATATATCATAAAATATCTCGCTTCCATTTGTTTCCATTTAAAACATAAAAAACATTCTTAGCTAGTGGGCTATAGAAAAACAGGCTGCAGCCTAATTTGGCTAGCCTTGGTTCTCTATACATCCACAAGTATGTATGTGTCTATAGGAAACCTATACTATTATTTCATTTGTGCATTTTCTTTCATAAATGGTTTCACAGTGTATGAATCATTTAAAACTTGAATTTTTATGTTTTCTGAAAAATAAGCATAAAATTTAAGCTTGACTGAGGAATATATGTATATATAATTGTACTATGTAGTCTGTATAGATAGATACCTTTATCTCTATCTGTACGGATCCATGTTTATACATCTATAGGTTATTCACATGTAGCTTTAGCCAGTTCTTTTCACTGCTGTATAGTATTCCACCATAGGATGCGTCATATTTTTATGCCTGTGGGTATTTAGTTTGTCATCTTTTTTTCCCCCCACAGGAAGTGGTGTGATTATATCCATCAGCACGTCTTGTGCGTATGTTTTGTTAAGGTGGGCATTGGAAGTAGAACTGCTTGGTTATAGGGTGTGTACATTTTTCATTTTAATAGATATCAGTAAGTCGGTTTCCAGAGTGACAATACCAATCTGCATTTCCACTGGGAGGCTTCCTCTTGTTCTTGGTTTGGGGTGGGGTTCATCCGTTGCTGTTCTCCTGATAGAGTGGGAACCAGGAAACAACCTTAGCACTGTATCATCTTGTCTTGTCACCGCAGATGCTAGCGTGGACCTCTATGTCCCTCTGGGTGAGTACAGACATTGTTTTAACTCTTTGCTAGGGCACTTACACACGAGACGAGTAATTTATATCAATAACCAGGTTTGGCAACATCTGCCAAGGTTGTCACACTCTGTGATTAAATGGCCATATGTGCCAGGAAACAGGAGGACAAATGGGGTGGTAATCAGGGTTCGCTATCCCTCCACCCGCCACCCCCACCATCCTTCACTTAGAATAACCTTGCTTTTGTAAACTGACTCGTGAATCAGATTATTCCATTGAGAATGCCAGTTTTCTGCTGGCATGTAAAGTATATTAATGCTTTCTATTTGTGTATCTCTATAATCACACAGGGTCTGGTTAAGCAATACCTTTAGAAACCTGTCTGGTTATGCAGAAGTCCAGAAACCTTTGGCCTTTTTGCTTGATGTCATTAAAAACCATGACCAGAGGATAAGTGTTTACATTAAACCTTTACTGTTAAAAGAAGCAGGGAGCACACCGCACTTCTCTGTGAAAGGAAGTTTTACCTAATGTTATCTTAGCATCCTTTAAATGCCACTGCCCACGAAAGGCAGGCAGAGAAAACACACAGAGGTTTTTCTTAACCCCACAAGAAATACTATATTCATGCAATATTAAAAGCACCCTTAATGCATAGAAGGGGGAAAAAATAACACTCTTCTTTCTCATTGTGTTACTGGTGTGACAGAGATGGATGATGGTTATGTAAGGACTTGGCATGTCCCAAAAAACCCTGGAAATATTGCCTCTTGACGTGGAGCTGTAATAAATGTGAAAGTAAATATCTGAAAGATTTATTAGCGTTTTAAAATTTGCTTACTGATATATAAAATTCTAATCAGTTGTGCACAAGAGCTTTAACTAAAATAAAGTATTCAAGAAGATAACATGGGAAGCCGATGAATATTTCACTGTTAATCAAATATAGTGTGTGGAGATGTGTGTGTGTGTGTGTATATATGTATAGATAGATAGATAGATAGATAGATAGATAGATAGATAGATAGATACACACGAGTTTTTCTTCTGTGTTTAGATCCCTCCAAATTGATAAGTGCTTGAAGAAGAAAAGCCATCTTAGTGCATGTAGTTTGCAGTTCTGACTGTAAGGAAAAAGAAAATAAACAAACACCTAATTTTTCTACATCCCAAAGACTCACTTCCCCAGCCAATCAATTGCTTAGTCTTTAACCAAAGCCAAATGTAGACCTGGGATAGCTAGGATCTTGTGTAACTCGCTCCCACTTATTTAAAAAAAAATAGATCTATGTGAGCTTCTTTTTTGGGGGGGTCGGAGGGGAATGGGAAATTTCCTTTGATGCCCCATTTCTTCAAGGTAAATACATTTTCAGAGGTGATCACTCAAGTCCAACAGGACACGGTGGATATTTTCCTCCTCAAAGCAGGCTCCAACTTTCCAGCGTCCTCACTTAGTACAGAATGTATAAGGAGACTGGAGATCACCACGCTGTAACTACTAGAAAAAGTACAACTGCTTCTGGAAGGAAACACTGAGCAAAGCGTTGTCAGCCGCGTTGGGGGAAGGGCGGGCGCGATGGCGTGCCCATCTTTTACTAGTATTTATATGGGAAGTAGCATATTGGAAGCCGTAAATACTGTCCCGTGGACATTTTGAATAATGCAGGAGTAGTGTAAGTAATTGGAAGTGCTTATATCCTGCCTTTAGACATTTCATTGCTCGCGAGTTAAAATTGGTTGTCAAGTGTGAACTCGGAGGACTGTGCAAGGTGCCCTATTCTGTCATGTGGTACATATTTAATGCTTGAAAGAACAAGAGAAGGGACACGTGCAGGAGGGAGAGAGGGAGGGAGGGAGGGAGAGCAGCGAGATCCCGCCGCCAGCTCTGTGCTTTGCACGCGCTTCGGGAAGCGCGGAGGCGGGACCCCGCGCAGCCTGGGCTTCCACCGCCTTCCCGGGGCTTCGAGACTTTGCAAAAGCATCGGGCGTCCAATTTGGCGAGCGTTTTTGGCGCGGAGGCCGAGGCGGCCCGGGGAGCTGGGCTGGGGCGCGCGGTGGCGTCCCCGGCACCTCGGCGGCCTCCCTTTGTGTGCGACCCCGCGCTGGCTGCCGGCTGGCTCCCGCCGCTCGCTTGGCTCGCTCGCGCTCCGCACGTTCGGCACCTGCTGGCGACCCTGTCCGGCTGCCAGGCAGCCAGGGCGCGCGCGGCCCGGGACTGGAGTCATTGGCATTGCTAGCACGTGGGGGCCGTGCGCTGTTGCCTTGGACTTCTCCCGTGTGCTCCCGGGAGGAACCAGGAGGCACTTTGCAGCCGACAATGAAATCCTGGCAGCTAATTGCAGTCGTGGGAGATGCCCTTCAGGTAAGGCGAGAGAAGAAGGCTCTAAACGCTGTCAGGGAAGGAGAGAGGGAGAGGGATGGATGGAGAGCTGGCAGCTCCTGCACAGCCTTTCTGAAGCCCACTGACTCGCGCGGGAGGGGGTGGAAGAGGGACGGGGACCGGGGGCGGGCGACAGAGGGGAGGAGTGTGCAAATTGACATTTGGGGCTGCCTGTGGCAGAGGAGCCGCCGTCAGCCGCTGTCCAACGTGCACGCAGAGAGGGTGGCGGCGTGTGCGCCTCCGGGACTGCTGATTAGAATAGGGACCTGGCTGCGGATGGAATACGGGAAGAGCGAAGCCGCGATGGAAGGCTGCGGCTGCGTTTGCAGCGCATGAATGAGCCGCGGTACGTAAGGCCACCCCGGGGACCGTGCAAGCTGGGCGCAGGGCTCGCCCCGGCGCGCCCGGGGGCGCCGGCCGCCTGGGGAGGGCGACGGGAGTCTGGGTGACTGGGGAGCCCGGGGATGGATCGGTTTTCTTTACCTACTAGAAGTTCGTGGGGGAACTTCACCGCCCAACCCTCATTGGCTCCTTTTAACTTTATTTCCAGAGACGAATAAGCGTTTATAAGAAACAGCGTGCAAGTCCCAATAGGCGAGCAAGGGCTTTGCAAGAGCTGCGCGGTTCTTTAAATGAGAGGTTGATGAAACCGTTGGCCAGAGGGACCGTGCATTTGGAAAGTTGCCAGGCTCACGTTCCGATGGGCTGTGCGTGTGCGTGTGTGGGCATATGCACCGAATGTTTGTGTGTTTGTGTAAACATGTCTACCATGCTCTTGCGCTGGTGCTCTCTCTCTCTCTCTCTCTCTCCTCTGCTTTTCCTGGTTCCCAAGGAAGAGAGATGAAATTGACAATATTGAAAAAGCTCTGACTTGAGAAATAGGCTCTGGGCCATTTTATTAAATGAAACAAGAGTTGCCCTTTTAAAGAGATCAAATTGGGGGAAATGTGCTTTGCCTTTCAAACCGATGGAATGAACTGGCAAGCATCTTAAAAATATGCAAAGTGTTGAATCCGACATTTATCAGCATAGAAGGATCACTGAGAAGACTCATTCCATCGCAGCCTGTTCCTCTAGCCATTATTTTCAGATTACAGTGGAATTGGTGGTTTTACTTATTTCTGTTGGCAAGAGCTGTGTGCCCTCCGCCTACTTAACAGGGACTCATGGGGGATTCTGAGTCCAAAAGTTTTGTTGGCAAAATCACCATAGGAAAATGTTCATTAAATGACTTGCTAAAAAGGAGTCCCTTTCTGAGTATCTTTAGATATCTCATAATTTACTCATTGTTTACATGGTTGAATTCGATCCCACAGAAATGGATGCGGTCTGTAGTGCAGGCGGTCAAAGATGATTGTGTAATCCTCTTTAGCTGGGGAGCTGGGTAGTGAATTGTTTGGTTTAAGGCTAAAATCTTTCTCCATGTGTTCCCTGTTTTTTCTATCAAGGTGTATCTTTGGTAATCCACAAGGCGTAAGTATAAATGTGTTTATGAAATGGACTAACTTGCCTTCATGGTTAACTGCGATTAAGTTTGAAAAGGGTTGTTCTTCAAGTAAGTAAACTAAAGTCAATCGGTGGCAGTTGTTTCCCGCTGGCGTTCATAGGTGATGCGGGCAGCATTCATGATTTTCAGACAAGAAGCAGGATTTTTCAACTCTTATCTGCCCACTCACACTCCCCACACTTGCCGATGCTGCCTCTGTGTTAGAATACTCACAGGTTATGAAGAGAAAATTGCCTCTCTGAGGAGTGGAGGAAGTATTACCTACTGGTGAAGGTTTCCTCTCGCCTTTCCTTACTGGTCTTTCTTTTTTCCTTCCTCCCTCCCTCCCTTCCTTCCTTCCTTCCTTCCTTCCTTCCTTCCTTCCTTCCTTTTTTCTCTCCCACCCCGTCTCTCCCATCCACCTGTATTTCCTTCCATCTGTCTGTCTTCTTGCCCCTGGAACACGGAAAGCTTTTCAGCTATCTTCTACTACTACGTTTTTATTTTAACAAACGTTTAGCACCCTGAGGGATAATTGGAACCTGATTTTTTTCGTTTTCCTTTCTGGTATTCTCTGCTCATGTCCCAGAATGAATCAGTATCAGGCAATCCACTGTACACTGATCTTGTAGAAAAGTGAATATTCAAACTTTTCTTGTCATTTCATTTTAACCAAGCGGACAGATCCTTGGAGAATGATTCTACTACATGAAAAGAGCTGGATCTTTTCTCTGTTATCACCAAGTGATAGGTTTTTTCAACAGTGCACCTTGTCTGGTGTAACTTTATTGGGCTAAGCATATTTTTGCACTTGTCTACTGTAACCTTGTACTTCAAGTACCTGTCTTAGTTTCAGATTCTGGATTCATTTTAATATGTATTTTCTTGGACTTGGTAGAAATAACCATTAGCCTTGACGGGCTAGGCTATTGAAGTATCATAAACAGTTTATTCCTTTTTTTTCCTTTTTTTTCTCTCTCCACAAGTATGACACAAAAATCAAATTAGATTTCAGATAAAGGGCTTTTGACAGCAATCGCCTTCCTTTAAATTATAGTTGTGAGATTTGAGAATATATGGTCCTAGGTTGAGACTATTATATGAAAATCAGAGAACATATTTCTCACCGTTTTCTGTTTGATTACAGAGAACCTAGCTGGATGGGTCACTCTCGAGCTAAAAAACTATCACAGCATCCAGTGAAAGATAATTTTGGTCTTGTTTTCTGTCTCAATTTATAATTTTTATATTAGGTGTTGAACAAAGTTGCAGTACCAGAGAAATGGCACGTGTTCCCAAAGAGGAAGAACATTTACAAAATAACAGTAAAACTCTATTATTATTAAATTTCATTTATGTTTCAAATTTAGCTTTTTAAACATTTCACATGTTAAAATTTTACGAAGTATCACAGTTATTGCAGAGGGGGCTTGGAGTAAGTCCTTTGAAAGTAACGCTGGAGGAATTAAAAGGGAAGGCCCTTGATGAATGTTATTCCCCATCTTGTGCTGATTTTCCAACGCACATGAATATAAATTAGGGGAAGCAACACGGCCCTTAAAGTTTTTTGCACTTTAGACTCTGTTTTGATGTCGATCTGGAAACTCCAGGATGTGGTGACACACTTATGGGTGTGCATGTTTGTCCTTTCTCGCCTCTGCCTTTATTTTCATGCAGAGTGGAGCGTTTGCATGTATTATGAGCAGGTAGTAAACAGGAGCCAATAAGGACATGAAGAAGTTTTGAATTATGCATTTTAATTTGTTTGAACTCAATTCGATGTAACAAAATAGCAGTCCTGACAATTTGGTGTTCATGCTTGCATGATACTAACAGAAAGAACAAAATCTGTAAACATCAGCTTTTAGCATACAGGGCTTGTCTTGGCAACCTTTATATTTAATTATTTGGCAACTGTCATATCCCAAACAGTGTTCAGAAGTGTGTTTTTATTAATAGATGTAAAGTTCATGTAAAAAGTTGTGGGGTGCATGTGTGTGTGTGTGCCCAAACAGCTGAAACACCTTGTGTCAGCTCTAGCGACGCGTTTTTGATTCAGCAAAACTAGGTTATGAAATCAAGCAATTAAAAATGACAAAAAGCCCAATTTCACTGCCTAGATTAATACACTTCCAATTTTTCCTGCTCCATAAAAATTTCAAAGTGTTCTTTTCTGGTTAGGTGTTTGCATAACCTATAGGGTTTTGGAAGGCCGCCATTTTACATTTGCTTATGATGTCTGAAGACTTTGATGTAGCAAAGGTAAATGGGATTAATTGGACGTTCTTAATGCAATTTTGTATTTGCAGGGTCTCTGAAATTATTTCAGTTGGGTTTAAAGGAAAAGCAGGAAGAGCAGTTGTTAGCTCCCTGGCGTTAATTGGTGGGGGATAATCGTTCAGCTAGTTCCAGTGTCACGGAGGCCAGGGCAGACTTTTCAAGAAATGACATAATTGTAGCAGAAATAGTGTATCCACATTCCCAGGAGGGCATGGTACATATTTTTTTCTCTCATGCAGTGGTGGGCATATCTGTTACTTTTTCTCTGCTTCTGTAGACTTGACATCTGGAATTCGGGATTCGCCTTTACCTAGTGAGCCAAAGCTCACCGTTCTTTCACATGGACCTTTTTTACTTACAGAGAAGTTAGTCGTCATGACCAGCTGTGTTGAGTTCCCTGCAAGTTTTGGCTAGCGGGTTAAATTTTCTAGCGTGGTTTGATGGACCTTGATCACACAAAGAGCGTATGCACACAGACACAGCCCAGGACGTCCTTGCTCAGGACCGGCTCCCTCACTTTCAATCCAGCGACACCCGCGTGAGTCAGGGTGGCCTGCATGCCCGGCGGCTGCTTGGGCAAGAGGACCCCTTCAGCACCATGTATTAGAAAGGCTGCTGCCAGCCTTTCCTTTCCTTGCCTCTTCATGATAATTCTGTGCCCGCATTTGCTATACGACCATTGATATATTTCTCTGTTGTTTAATTGAAATCTCTACTCGTGGGGAAATCAGTTGCTTGTTTGCTAACGAGATGCAAGTACCAGTTGTGTCCAGTTATTTGCATATATAACAAGAGGCCTTCCATTTTATTGTCATGATGAGGATGATGAAGATAACAATGGCATCACACATCAACAGTTACAGGAAGTCACACCCTGATGCTGGTTTCTCCCTGGGCACGTGTGGCCTCTGAGTGTCAGGTGTTGGCCTGGGACCGTCACCATACTTTCTCTGGGCCTTCCCACGACTCTGCAAGGTAGGTATTGCTATGCCTGATTTACAGACAAGGAAGCAATCTCCAAGGCGTTTTGTGATCCGAACGAGCAATGAGACTCCAGGCTTTTCTGATTCCAGTATACCATGATACCATTGAAATGAACTCATCTGAATTTAGAAAGATCCACAGATGCACTAAGCAGTGGTTCTCAACCAGGAGCTATTTTCTCACTCCCTTGCTCTCCAAGGACAACATTTGGCTACATAGTGGAGATACTTTG